CCCCTGTGTGTGTAGTGGGTTTCTCCAAAGTTCCCGGTCGAGCTCCTCGCCTCCCTGAAGCCCCTGTGGAACCCCCCCCTCTCCTCCTCCAGCGACCAGCAGGCAGCGTCTCGGGAAGCATCAGAGGACAGCAGAGCACCGTCGCTCCGTTCACCGCCCTCTCCCCCCCTCCTCTCCGCTCCCACCTCCCCTCCCACCAGCAGCAGGCACCCACCTTCATTCCCCACTTACTCTCCCCTCCTCCTCACCTGCTCCTCCCTCTGCCTCCTCCACCGGCCTCCTCCACCTCAGGACACCCGCTAACAAGACACCCTCCCCCCGAGTTCACTCCTGCCATATTTCTGATTAACTGTTCAATGAAGTTATTCACAAGTGAGTTACTTACCTATATATAAACGGTGGTTGCCAGGAGGACGAAAACATGTTCCCGGCCTTCATATTTCTCTTCTGCTGCCACATGTGCAGTCCACTTGCTGTAGCAACGGTAAAGCGCTCCTCAGGGTTGTTTTATGCTATACATCTAAGTCTCTACGAACTTGCACGGTTCGCCATTCTGCGGACAAGTCAACTGGAGACCTAGCTACTAAGCTCCGCCCTCCTCAGTCTACTATTCAAAATTACACGACGAATTGGCAATCGACTCTCTCTGTACACAATCAAGATGGAAGCAGTAACCTAACCAGCTATTCGCATATAATGCAAGAATCGTTTACCAGTGTAGAGCTCCATTATAAGAGCAACAAGCTGTCCCGAAAGTGCTGTATGTTTGACATCACTGAAGTAGAAATCGTAACTGTCACCTGTGAATGCTGTTAAATATTAAATGTCGGCTAGGTGGTTTATTGTATAAGAGGAGCTGTGTTGATGTTGTGTGACTTTATATACAGGCTTCATGTGATATGTTATAAACATGGATGTTTAAAGAGTTGGGTGCAGCTACACCGGTCCAATAAATAAGGCCACGAACATACATGATGTACAACTTTTTTGAATAGTTATATTCTCTCCCTCTCGCTCTCTTTCTCCCAAAGACAACTTTTAAAATATAACAAATGAACAATTCAAAGTTTACATTAAGCGTTAAGTCTCTTATGCCCATAGAACACATTAGCACAATCAAAGCGTTACACAACAGTGTAAAGCACACTCTTAAATATTAACACACACATATCAACAAATGAGAAACATTTACCGTGTGCGCCTCTTGAACCTTGTAGATTACTTCAATGGCATGAGTAGCCTATAAAGGACCCTCTTCTGTTGCCTGTTACCATAGCCTGTTACTCACGTTGCCATGGCAATGCCCTCTGGCCTGACTGTGGTCATGTGACTCACCGACCACATCCCAAATGTGAACCATTCTACATTTCGCTATCCAGATAATACTCTACATTTTACAATTGTCTAATTAGACTCAAATTTACTAAATCATAAATTGATAAGCAAGGCACACAAATGAACATCCAAATATAAACACTTCTCAGACCGTTACAATAGCCATAACCGACACAGGAAGATGGAGCCGGATATGGAATTATTCATAGGGCTCTTTAGTTTAAGCTCCGATCATTTTAGCTTTTACCTCTCCTGTCACTCCTCTCTTTCCAAGCACAGACAAACTGAGAGCTGTTTCTCCTAATGTGATAATGCAGGCCCTTTCTCTCCGCTTGGGCTTCAACTACAGCTGTCTCGTAGATATTACCAAAAACTGTTTTTCTTCAGATAATAACAGGACAGTTTGACTCTGCCAGGGACAGGGCTTGCAGCGTCTTGTTGTATAATGTTGATTATATTCTAGGTGTGGTTAAGTATCAGGGAAGAGAGCTTCAGAGTTGGTTTGTCCCTACTGTGTCGGTCCTTAACTTCCAATACATCTTCAGGGTCTGATTAATTTGAAGCTCTCCAGTGTACTTCTTGTGTTCTAGTTCTTCGCTCCATGATTTTATAACACATCCAACCTAAGAAAAGGATGAAGATTATGTAAAATAGCGCAACAGAAAGTATTAGATGTACAAGACAAAGTTTGTACATTTCAGGGCAATGGTTTTTCTCCCTGACTTTTTTCTTGATTTTGTAGAAATACTGTTGTCTGTATAAACTTATAAAAATAACTCTTTAGAGGTACAGTTTTCACAACTCGTAGATTTAATGTGACATGCCATGGGGAAATCACAAATGTTGAAATACAATGTAGGTGTACATCTTACAACAACATGTTCACGGGAGAAAAACAACCCCAGTCGAAGTATTTGTACTGTCAGTTGTGCGTCTGAAGTATAGTTTAGAAACTGCTGCAGCTGTTGCAAATAGTTATTAAAGTCAACAGGGAATGTGTTGTGTAACGTTTTAGTCTGTTTTTACAAATCAATGATTTTCCCTCGAGTAACCATATGGCCTTGCTATCCCAAATAAACATTTCAGTTTTGGATGTTTTTCCTTTTTTGGTAGATCTTATTGCTTATGTCCGACACCCCACTGACTCCTCTGCTCTTGTCTCCCATGGCGACAGGTAGCGGTCGGCTGGCTCCTCCTCCGGCTCCCCCGGCACGCTCCCCCTCAACCGAGCTGTCCACCCGCATTCCTCCCCCCCCACCTCCCCCCCTGCCTCCGTCAAGCCTCAGGAATGGACACCTGCACAGCCTGGGTGAGTGTAACTATATATCTGACAGTATTGATCTGACATTTTTAAGGAGACGATTAAGGCCTTTAGTGTGAGTTTCTTATGAAGAGTGCTTTCAAATGAGAGAATACGCTTGTATTAAATGTAACTTATTTAATGAATTAAAATGTCATTATCTCTTCTCTACATCCTCATTATAATTATACTGTATCAGAGCTTTTGTGTCTTCTAAAAATAAAAATAAACCTGGTGAGGATAAGACATCTCTGCTTGTGCAGTTTTCATTGCTTGTGGAATATACCTGATTGTTTAAACATCTGTTTAAAATGATTTTTGATCTGTTCATTTTATATACCGATGCAACACAGGGTGTCCGCGGGTCTTAAAAAGTATTAAAAGTTGATCAATTAGTTTTGCAAAAATTAAGGCTATTAAAAAG